TTTAGATATCTTGGTCAAGGAGTTGCTATGTTGTGTACCAAATGTAGCTATTATGAGCAAAATTAACCATTGCTATACAGTGGGGCATAGAGTCGAAGAGACTTTGGATGACATCTTAGAACATTTCAGAGTTGTAATTCTTTATCTTGGCAATGTTTGTGATTCAATCAGTCATATCTAGTTAGAGAAACTGCGCGTGATCAGAGTCTTATGTCCGAGAAAGGTCAGGTGAACGTCTCTTCCAAGGAAGAACAGTCAGCTACTGTGGTGAAAGAGATGTTGGACTCTGAGTGCGACGTGTGTTGGAATATTGTTCTATTGAAAGATGGCTGTAAGGTTCTCCTGAAGATATGGGACAAACAAACATTTATAATGTAACGTTGTCAGAGTGGGAAACATGTGTACCAGACGCGAGAGAGGTTCGTATCTCATGGCACCACATACTATAATCCAGGCTGCGTGAGCTTGCTGTCCTGTTTTCTGGACTCCTCCGTTTTATATTTCCATGATTAGTAGGATTTCGACCACTGTGAAGAGAAATTTCGTGAACAAATTTGGTCACGTCTTCTTACGTGAGCTTATGTCTTCTTAAACGAGCCATAATCTATCATTCTAGTGAAACAAGTAAAGAGGAAACAAGATTTTTCGTATGGAAAACCTATCCTTATTTCTCCTTTACTGTTATAAGTGGGTTTATGGGCACTTTTTATTTACGCTGCATTCTAATCATTTTCATGTCCTACGATTCTGTTTATTTTGTGCAAATATCACGGATACTTTCTTAATGATGTTTCAGTTTTGATGGCCAGCACTGTCTTAATTTACAAATTTAAATTTTTATATTACTTTTGGAAATCAAAGTGTCGGAACATGTTGCTAAACATTGTACTTGATGCCGCCCAGTCGGTACAGCGGTTAGTGACATTGACTGCCGCTTCGATGGGCATTGGTTCGAGTTCCGGAGAAGGCATGGATGTTTGTAAACGTATAGAGTCTTTGTAGCAAGCGGCATTCAAAATACACGGTTAGCCGAAATCTTTTCGAGAGGCTGTGAAAGGGTAGAAGGGTGGGAAACCCTCGAACCATCGCCCGGGTTGTTCTTCCCTTAGAATTTCATCGGGGTGAAAGCTAATAGTTAATTACCTGTATAGACTGGCCTGCACCTCTGTGGCACTATTGTACTACAAAGGTGCTATGCTCATCTAGCTTCTACCTGTACATGTAACTGATACTTAACCTTATTAAAAGAAATCACATGACGTGATCTATTAATTGTACACTCTTTTGCCAAAGAAAAAGAAGCACCATGAAGAAAGGGATTGTTTTTATTGAAATTAAATGTGAATAAAGCAGGTAATGGAATGATTGAAAATTCAAGGACTCATCAGTGACTAGCAATTGCACATTGAATGTTCAAATAAATAACTGTAGAAATTTCTCTTAGCAGTGATCCATGCTTTTAAACGTTGGAGTAGAATAATAAAGATTCCTTATCTCATCCTGCGATACATTCTGTCAGGCATTCGTCAATTATTGCTCAGATCTGCAAACTTTTGAGGTGTCCGAATCTGACGCCTTGACATATACATATTCGTTTGGGGAACGGTCTGGTGACATTACCGGCGAAAGAAAAATGTCAATAGCAAATCGCATGGGGGGTCTATCATTAACCTGTTGGAAATTGGCTCCAGGAGGGCGGCCCAAGCAATTTAATTCAAATGGCCGCAGCATGTCATCCCCCTATTGTTGAGCTGTTAAATTTGTATGGATGATGGGTGAAGATGTGAGCAGGAACTATATTTATGATCTGTTGTAGTTAGAAATAGTTTGTTTGGTTTGGTTTATTGAGATTACGGCAAAGCACACCAGGACTATCTGCCTAAGGGGAGGGGTACCTCCGTGGAGGACTTTCTAAGAAAATTGGCTCGTATACACGTTACATTACATATGGGAAAACTACGAAAACGTCCATGCAGCCAGCCCGTTCGCGGGATTGGAACCTCGGACCGAACTACCAGTGTTCAGCGACTTTACCGCTCGCCCGCTGGTGGGTCCCTAGTTAATTAGAGATAGCATCTCACACCATCATACCAGGGTAATGGCTGTGAGTGTCTGTAAAGCAAAGGTGTATTGGTACCGCTAGCTTTGACACACCGACCTGACGCTCCCCCCTCCACACACAGACCTGATGATGGATCGCATTCAGCAATGAATCCAGCTTCAGTCTTGAAACAGAAGCCATCGGGTTCGTATATGGAAGGGCCAGATGCTTAGTTGGTATGTCTGTTGTAAAGACATTACATTTTCAAGGTTATTGCCTTTACCTAGATTTCAATTATGATCCAATCATGTGAACCCAATGATTTTGATTCGATTATAACGCGCAGAGGTTAGTTTATTTTTTAAAGTGGATTTAAGTGAACTTATGAGGTATTTCTCCCACCTTCCCTGCATGGCTTCGTGGTGTAATGGCCAGCACACTCGGCGCGTATTCGAGTCCATGTTTCGAGTTCCGGCGAGAGCATTGCTCATTTTTCTCATCTCCTGTTTCAAAAAATTCTTAATGTCTCTACATTGGCTCCCGAACTAAAAAAGTTGGTGGATGGTGATTCTTCACCAACAGGATTTGGCGATTGTGTCCCCTAATTCCCAGTCGCCCTTGAAAAAGGAGAAGTGTATAAGGTATTTCTTCTTCCTTGTTAGTATGCCTTCGTGGTTAATGGTCAGCCTTTGTGTTTAATGGTCGGCGCGTATTCGAGACGTCCGAGGTTCGAATCCCGGCGAGGCCATTGCACATTTTTCATGTCTCCTGCTTCAAAATAACCTAATGACTCTACAAACTAATAGATCTTCGGAATAAGTTCAACAATGCTCAGAATATACAGTCGAGACTCGTTATAACTGCTTATAATAACCATTCGATTGTAATGGCTAGTGAAAAACGTCCCAGCTTGTTTAGATATTTTATCTCTACTACCCTCAATAGTGGCCCCTCGTTATAATGCCCTTTTTCTTAGAACGCAAAAAGAATGGTTATAAATTTCAATGTATTTCAGTATTGAACTTTATGGTTTAATTTAAAATCAGTTATTCAGGTAAGAATGTAGCTGATATCCTAATCTGTTCAGGTTAAAAAAAAGATATGTTTTATCTTAACTAACCTGATTTCGTTGTTGATGTTTACTTGGATTTCCTTCCGTCCTTAGTTCATTAACCCTAATATATATGGTTAACTTCATGCCTTTATTAATTCATACTGAGCTGCTTCAAAAAGACTGGCTGTAGGTGAGTGTGGACTTTCATTATGCACTACATAATGAGACATTATTATTTATAGCTCACTTTAATTTTCATTTATTAAATACCATAAGCTATATTGATGTTGTTTTGCGCTGAAATTATTTTTAATTAATAAATTAATAAACTGATATATTTTAAATACATAAGATCTAGTAAGTGTATGGCATGTTTGTTTTGAATTAACCCGTTACAAATGGGTATAAAAGGCAGTTGATTATAAAGAGTTATTTAGTATATTGTTCTTTGATGTTATAGTAATATCATTGGAATAAGAATATGGTAAATAATTATTTTATTGAAGATAAAATCAGCAAATTATTCCATTTAATTTGTAGAAAAGAAGCTTTTTTTTGATTCAATGAAACCTGGGTTGACGAATGCAGTTCGTTCTTGAAGCCCGTTCATCTCTCGAAATGTTCGTAAACCGAAACCGTTTTTTTCACTGGTACTAATATAAAGTAGATTAATCCGCTCTTGGAATATAGATCATTACAAATTTTACAAGAAATATTTGAGTGAAAGTTTAAAACAAAAATAATTAATTGGAAATTATTAAATATAAGACAAAAGTAAAAAAATCTGATAGGTTTCAGATAGATTTTAAATTACGTCCAAACGGGCTTTTTTTTTTTTTTTTTTTTTTTTAACGTTTTGTGTGTTACCTATTTTTTTTATTAAATATCATGTTCTTCGTAGTTAAACTATAAAATTGAGTTCATCAGCAATATCGCAAAATAATTTTAAAATGAGTATACCTTTAGAATTTCGGATACACAGTCTCGCGCGCTGGAGGAAAAAAAAAAAAAAAAAAATTGTGTGTGCAACGTTGCCATTGTTCGCTTTGAAATCCTTGATTTTGTTAATCATAAGTTCATTAAAGTTTACAAAATAAGAAACAAATTCCAAATTTCACATTCGTGCTTCCAGATGCCCATATTCGGGTGGAGACGTTCAATATTCAAAATTTGATGGCTCTAGGTACCGTAGTTTTATCACAGTGCGAGAAGCATACCTACATTTATTCAGATTCTTCATTATTTAATTTCTTTAAATATAGTACAGGGCGATAATATTTGGTGGCAACAATTTGTAAAGGGAAATACGCTTGTAGTGAATCAAAGCAAAATGCCAAAACGAAATTAACAATCCTTCTGGGCAAATTGCCCCTTTGGACTAAAAATGTTAAACACAACATTACAGAAATAACAAGTGAAGACTTATGTTAAGTATTATAAGTACGAAATAGAACAGATAGCATAAATAGAAAGTGATGCGAAAGGTGTTGTTATTTGGATGACGACACCCATTACATACAATCGTTAGCAACTTCTTTCATTCTTTCTCACATAACGTCACTAGATTGCCTGAGACTCATTAAGCCTCTTTCACTCAAAATTTTCCCATGTGATATACTGTTTAGTACACTAATTTAAAATGTCTAAAATGGGACATAGCATTTTCTTTTAAAATGTTAATGCTTTAGCATTTTACTTCTTTTCCAGGGTCATATCATTATACGAAACATTACACCTTACCCGATTAACTTCCGATTGGCAGTATAAAGCTTTTTTATCTAAAACTTCATAAGGTTCGACAGAGTATATAAAATATATTTACTGTTATGCATTCAATTTCACCTCCGAATCTCGAATTAACATGTAAAAGTATCCAGTTTCGTTTCCTTGTTCTCAAAGTATAATTTCTCAGTTTGCATATTTTCACAGACACATATCCTTTTCATTATAAAGCAAGTATTTCGTTCATAATCTGAAGCCATGGAAGTAAATAGCAGTGAACTGAGAACTGTGAGTGATTTTGAAAAAGCTGCCCTCGACAGATGTCTGGACAACGTTGGAAAGATTTACTTTTCAGCCGGAGCCAATACGCCTTCAACGCCAAAGGATAACGAAGAAGCTTTGAAAAGGTAAAGGAAATCCTAATTGATTGGTCTCATTTAAAAGTATATCACCGTATTTTTTTTTTTTTTTTTTTTTTTCGCTGTGCAACGCTTAAAGCAATTGCACAGATTGCGTTATCCTTCCAGTGACTTAACTCAAGACTTATATTTGTATATCTTCCTAGCTTAAATCTCTACATATTTCCAAAGAATATATATATGTGTATCTTATGGGAATACTTTACATATATATATTGTTGGATGCGCACGGGATCGTAATGGATTGAATGCACACAAAACCGATGGTAGCTTCATAAATTTTTTTTTTATCGAAAGAAAGTCTGAACTTTCTGTGCTTAACTTTCTGCATTTAACTTTTCTGTACTGAAAAGCTATATAAGTACTTTTTACTCGTACAGCTCTTCTCAGTATGACAGAGCACTTTCAATAGTTGCATTTCAAACTACTAAGAACGTTAAACACAGAGCAATGCAAAGTGCATCTACAAAGCGAAGCTCAATGGGAGATATCTCAATACTCCGAAGTCGATTCTGAATTTTAAAAAAAATGAAAACTGATGCTCTCTCCGGATTTAATATAGTTTCTCCCCGGCCGCCTAGAAATCTCCAGTACCTTCTATTTCTCAAAATTACTGGAAGACGTATACTGTTAAAGTTGCATATAAAGACGGGATACGCTTACATTTACACATAGATTACACGTATTTAATTACAGTGTCAAATACAGCTAGACAGGAATGGGAACAAAATGTCCCCATGTTTGGCGACTATTGGATATTCATCCCCAAATTTAACGACAAAAATAAATCGCCAAAACCTTCGCCAATTCAGCTTGGAGATATCTCGCCAGTTATCGTGGATCATAGTCAGAAATGTATCGACGCTGAAGCCCACCATTTTAAATATTTACTTTAAACACCGTTCTGAATTTTCAGTTTGATCAGAAAGTACTCTAAATTTCCAAATTGGACTATAGCCCTACTTTTCCCAGAAATTAATCTTGTGGGTTGGAAAATAAATTTTTATGACAGTTTAAATTGTATACACATTTTTCTGACGCACTCTGTAGTAACTAATTAGCAATTGTGTTTTCGAATAAAAAATCTTTTCTCTTTTAAAAAAATCTTGGAAAAGGCTGGTATGAAAGTTTTATTGTAAATGGAAAAAAAAAAAAAAAAAAAAAAAAAAAAAAAAAAAAAAAATACTCAGTTGCATTTGAAGTAACATCCCTCAAACTGGAGCCATATCTTGGCTTTCTATAGAAGCACTGAAATAATACCCATTTTGGTATCTGTCGTAGACTGACCGTGTAGGGATTTTAAACAGATAAATTGACCTGAAAATGTAGCCTGTAGAATGTAGTTAATGAGAGCGCACATAAGGGACAAAGAGTGAAAAATCGAGCAACTAAAGTAGTTGCGGCATGGCAGAGAAGTGATTCTGATCAAAGAAATCCAAGTCATTTTACTCAAACACGCACTGTTTAAAATGCGATATCGCAAAGAATAATTGAAAGATACTTTAACTCCGTTTGCACTAATAAACATGTGCATTAATGTTTGGAATTATGGTATTGAGAATGATGTCATTCTCCATATTTCTTCTATAGAGATGAAGCTAGTCCACTTTAATAGAAAATCCTGTTACTGGACATTTCCCTCATTTGACATGCGTATAGTGCGAACTTTTTGAACGGATGATATTTCTGTTTCAAATAAGTGCAGGTGCTTGCATGAAAATTTTGATATTATGGATAAGATGTAATCTTACGTTTATAGGTAGTCTGAAAAGGGAGTCTTAGGTATTAAAAGTGTAGGGTGACCTGAAGCCGACGGACACATTTAATGTTTGAATATTTTACCAGCGTCTTAATTTCTCGTGATTAGAAGGGGAACAACAGAAAAGACGAGTTTATTACACAGAATCGTTTCAATGGAGCTTTCAGAAAGTCTAAGATCCGGGGCACACATTCTTTAAAAGTTTCGTTTACACGACGGTTTTTAGGCCATGAGAGGTTAGAGCTGAGTTTCGTTACTAGACAATCAGACCTTGCTACGCCACAAAAACTGGTTTAAGGATTTTGCCTAAAACTTCTATCTTTTTAACTTTATGTCGACTTGGTATAAGAACCGACCAGTCACAGCGAAGCAACTATGAACTAACATTCGGTCGACTGTTCCATTGAGTCAGCTACACATTTATGCATGCGCAGTTTTACCTTCCCTGACTTCTTGGCCACGCTTTAAACTCTGCTATACAGGTGTGAATGGACTTTTTGATTTTTACACCTTAAACCACAAAGCCTCATGGCCGAAAATGCGTTTAATCTGAATGAAGCTAAAAGGGCCTTTTTTTTAATAAATTCGTGTGAGAAAATCAGAGTTAGGAGGATTTATAAGATGAAATCATCCTATAACCTTAACCAGAACCAGCTGCAATGAGCCCGGGCGCTCTAGATCTAAAAAATAATCAAGCTGTGTTACGAAGATTCGTGTACGGCAATTTCCACGCGCGTTTATAAGACTGCAGGGAGATGAACAAAAGCCATCTGGCTGACGTAATTAAAAAATCTGGTGTGTACACCACATGACTTTCTTGTACGGAATATTAAATTATATGCATTTTTCTTGCATATCATTTAAACTTATTGGACTGAATTAAATCTACTTCGTCGATAGCGCATAAACCATAATAGAATAAATACACTCTTTAAAATTCACTATATTTGTTTACCATAGCGACACTCTGGCGCTAGGTTCACTTAACAGCGTTATATTTCGTTCATATTATAACTCAGAATGCACAAAATTTATATCATTTGAAGAATTATCTAATCGTTGCCACATGTTCTATTCAAATACTATAATAAATCTAGAACGATGTATAAAAGAAATTAAGCGAACAAAACAAAATTGAAACAGTTTTTCAAAGACGATTCAGTATTTTTCATTCAATTAATTCAGTTCTCACTTCGCGACAAGGCAAAAATACATAAAAACTCAAAATATCTCTATTAAAAATTACGAAGTAAATCTTAAACACTTATTTCCTCGAAAAAATTCCAGAAAGGATTAAGCATAATTTAATTCGCGATAATAAATGAAGGCGTTATCTTTGTTGTTGTGAAGCTTAGTCTCTCTAGATTGGCAACAAATCTACTATTCTGCTGTTTCAAATATAAACAAATATGTCGGCCATGTTGTTTAAAAATTAGGCTTAACCGCTCTTAAAGAGATTTTAAATTTTTGATAATTCTACAAATATTTCTTGCAGATTTAGTAAAGGCGTAAAAATCTTAACCGGAAGATAAGAACTACATAATTCAATCATTTTTAAAGCAAAAAATGCACAATTTACAAACATATAAGAGTAAAGAAACTGAGATTACTGAGCCGGGTAACAGAGTGGATATATATATAAATATATTTATATACGTTTGGTGTTTGCGATTGCAACCAAAAGACGAAGTGCACGTCTGCATGTTATAGCAGTCCTGTATACGAAATTTCAACGTTCTGAGGCTACTCGTTTTTGAGTTATGCGAGATAAGTATGTATCGAATGCAATTTAACGATGTCACGTAAAAACATCGTTAAATTGCATTCGATAGCTGTTAAAATGGATATTTTCTTTGAAATATGCTGCCTGAAACCTTTCGCGATTACAATACTTCTAATATGTGGGAAGGAATATCACATTTTGACGTATTTATTTAAACAGTTTCGTTTTCCCCCCATTTCATCTATGACTCTTTAAAATTATGTGTCACCTATGACTCTTTACTATGCATCAGTCGGTTGCGCGTCACTTTATATGAAAAGTACTGCATTAAAGTACATAATATAATGAAAACTATGTTCTCAATTTTGTAAAATGTCTTCTTCTTCTACAGCTACAGAATTGTGCCACGAATGCTCCGTGACGTGGCGGGAGCAAATATCGAATGCAATATTTTAGGAAATGGGATGTGTAGTCCTATTGGGGTGTCCCCAACTGGATGTCTGTTTCTTGCCCATCCACAAGCAGAAGTTGCTGCTGTTAGAGGTATCAGTAATTATTTTTTAATTTCAACAAAGTATTTAATTGAATACGATTGTCTTTGTTAATGCAAACTGCTTGAAGCATGGAAAACTTGGCTGGATGAGATACGTAAAAATAATGCTTCTGTATTTATTTCAAACCCTCTCAGCGTTACGGCCGGAAAATTCCGTACAGAAGGTTGCCTTCCACATTCATTATACTAGAAAATTTCTGCTAGCTTTTAATGTATCTGATTTCAGTTTGGATGTATATTAGAAGAAAAGGAATCAAGGTACAAAATGAAAGAGTCATTGTTTAATTAAAATCAAGAAAATATCACTTATTCATGACATTTTGAGGAACTTTGAAATTTCAGGGCTAAACCCGTAAGGTAAACCAAAGGGTGTTTTTATTAAAAATGTCGTTGTAGGAATTATGCTGAAGTAGTGCAGCTTATTTCATTTACGTATATTCATTTGAGGTTTTCTAAAATTTAAAATTACTATTTGATTTTTGAAAAATAAAGTAGTGAATTATTAGTACATGCTCTGAACCAGGGTTAGAAGAAATTTCTTTGCGGTTAAGAGTTTATGGCGCACAATGTAGGATATATAAATTCATGCGAGAAGAAAAATATTAAACTAAATTTATTTTTTCGACGTCATAGGCTTATATGATGAAGGTCTCGACCATTTACATGTTAAAATCATCCAACAAGAACAGGTTTCTTTATGGTTATCTCACAAGGCAGAAATTGAGTTATGCTTTGCTATAAACATAAAATCATATTTTCACGCAAATGCCCAACTTGAGAGTTTTTCCATAAAAATCATTTTGCCAGTTTCATTCTTAGTTAATTAATTAAGCAAATGATGAAATAAGTACATGGCGCCATGTAAGCACTTTTTAAGCAAAATGGCTTCATTTGCATAAAAGTCTTGCGCGTTTGTTAAAACTTCGAATTTACGTAAACGTGTCAGCACTTTTTTGAAAAATGGTGAGGCAGACGTTAAGACTTTTGCTGAATTGGCATAAATGTCTGATGTTTTCCCTTTCATTACGGTGAATCAGAACAATATTGCACGTTGTGTTTGTCGGAAGGAGACAGATGCGTTTCAATAATTACATTACCGTTCAATGTGATAATGTAATTAAACTATATTTTCACGAAAATCTGAAATTGTAATGCGTATGAGGCATGGAAAAGCACAATATAATCTTTTATTATTAATTCTTCTTTAGGTCTGTAATGAAGAGAGATCACAAGTTTAAACACAATGTTTGTTATATACGAAATCTTTATTAAAACTGTCTAAATTTTCTTTGCTAATTTTATCTAACGGTTTACATCTAATTTTTTCAACTATCTGGGTTTATCACAATTTCAAGTACTAAAAAAGTACTTTTGGTACTTAAAAGTACTAAAAAGATAAGCTTAATTACTGAACGAATGTACCTAAACTTGCTGAACTAAGAACTCAACAAATTAATGCACAATTTTAAATTTCTTTGCAGATATTTTTCTAATTAATTTCTTTTGTAAACAAGCGAGATACATTTTATAATGGAAACTATTATGTTAATAAAAAGTAATATTTATGATTATGCCAAATAAAATTTCATGGTGACAACATATTTCTGAGCAAATCGAAAAAACATGAGTATTAAACATCAGTTCTCTAAAACAACCATTTATACAGAAGAATAAAATCATCTGACATCGTGGTCTCCTTGGAGAGGTTTCACTGTATTAATTTTAATTTGAATGGTATCCTAACACAATCAGGAATATGTACAAATTCGTCTGAACATTTCTAAAGCTCGTTGATTTGAATTACTTAAAGTAAGTGATACAAAAGTACTGCATTAAAGTACATAATATAATGAAAACTATGTTCTCAACTTTGTAAAATGTCTTCTTTTCCTACAGCTACAGAATTATTAATTATTATATTAATTATTTTATTATTATTCCGTAATTAGAATTAACTTTGATACTTGAACATTTATAAATCGAAATTTAAAAATTTAATAATATTATTGCAAAATTGTTGTTTCACCAATCATTTTAGAATATTTGCCTGCGTTAAGTTTATTTTTATTTCATCAAAAACCTTTCATTTTTCAGAATCCATTGCCTATAAATTTTAAACTGCTTTCGTAAAACATCTAATTGCAGAACTAAACTAAAAAATAAACACTAAATTAAAGTAAATAAATTTTTAACTGTTTCTTAAGCTAAAATGCTTACGAAAACAAAAGATTAAGCAAAACAAGGGAAGACTGATCATTAAACAACTTAAGTACTGAATCATCAAGCATTATTATTCTAATCTAAATAAAAATCAATTTTAGAAGTCTTATCTATTAAAATGCTTACAAAAGCGAAACATTAAACAAAACAGTAAGCAGCTTAGAATACTGAGTCACCGCGAATTATATTAAAAATTAAAAAAAAATTAATTTTGAAAAAAATTGCTTTTATACCAAGGCATTTTCAATTTCATCACCTTAGTGTGGCTGAAATAAAGATACCAGTACCATTTTAAAATCTAAGAGTACTCAATATCCTTAGTGCAAAGAAAGATGCCTTTTCCAAAAAGGGCGTCCTACAATATTATTCTCGTTTACTGCAACAAATATAAAAGAGTCATAACACACTAATAACATGACACATAATCATGTCAGTGTTTATGCATTATGTTTTATAAATGAACGCCAACGGTGTTTATCGGTAAAACATAAAATACCGTCGACACCTTTATGCCAATTCATCGTTTTTTTTTTTTTTTTTTATAAAAGTGCCATTTTTGTGCAAGTGAAGTAAATTTTTATTAAGGTGCAGTGGATTTATTTCAATTCATACATATTAGTCTTAGTAGATTTATTTTATCTTTACTTCGCCCCCCCCGGAGATCGATGCAGAGAGCTCTGCGAAGCTAGGATCTGTACCTAGGCAGTCTCGGCTAAGTCCGTTCCGTCGAACGGCTCGCCTGCGTAGTAATGGTGGGCAGCAAATTAACGACCAGTCAAATATCCAGACGAATAGGTCACACCCTCCATGAATAGCCCAGGGACCCTCGGGCCCTGTTCAAAAGTAAGGGTTAGGAAGAAATTTAAAAATCGGTTTAGCTCGGGATTGGGGCCCTGGGCTTCGGTCGGACCGAGGACCCTCGGGCCCTGTTCAAAAGTAAGGGTTAGGAAGAAATTTAAAAATCGGTTTAGCTGGGGATTGGGGCCCTGGGCTTTGGAATGGACTTCTAACTTCCCAAGGTGACTTCTGGCTCAATGACCTCCCCCTGCCTGATTATGTGCACGCTCAGTTGGATCTTCAGTCTGTGTAGTGCGCAATGTAGAGACGAAAAACGTACATAATAGCATTATTATTATCCTTTAGTTCTCTTCTGTGTCAACGCAGGAAAACCTGTGAAGCTACTGGCTAGGATCTGTAACCTAGGCAGTCTCAGCAACGGCGGTATAAAATCACGATCTTAGCGGTGTGAGTCCAGTGCAATATCAGGCCAACCGCGTAATACTGGCAGGCAGCATTTCTGACAGCCAGTCAGACTTCGAGGCGAATAGGTCAAGCCTCACAAGTAGCACTGAGAACAGGAAGTGATCACCCCTCGAGCACGGTTCGAAAGTGAGGTTAGGGATAATTTAAGAAGTCCGTTAAACCTGGGATTGGGGTCCCGGTGTTCGGCAGAAAAATTTATTTCACCTCCCATGTGATTTTTGGCTGGACTACCACCACTTGTCTAATATGGGGTTTTCAACTGAGAGTCCAGTCCGTGTAGTTGCATTTAGTTGAAGGAGCGCGTAGAAAGTTCTTTGTTGTTATCGTTTACTTACCTCTTGGGGTATACACATTGACTTTGTATTTTACTATGGCAGTAGCACTCTGGGGTAGCAAAAGCACTAGCCTGGCTGTTCCAGAACTCTAAGGGAAGATCGTTTTATACGGTTGGACCAAGTGGGGATTGGCGAAGACTTCAAATCTCTGAGGAGAGAGGTAATCAGGCGGTTGGCTCATCAGAGGCTGGGTAAACCTCTGGTGAGGAGAGAAGTAATAACTTTGCCTTTCCTTGCCATTTTATGGCAACCCTAAGCCCGCTTTGCGGGGAAGCTATCTTACCACAGCTGGGCATTTCGTAACAATATATAAAGCATTTCTTGTAATTCATAAATTGGAAAGAGCTCAAGATGTCTTGATCGCTAATGCTGTACTTTTGTTACAAGCGACTACTCTACGGGGACTAGTCAACTTCTAACATCACTCGTAAAATTTTCTTTTGATTCTCGGAAGCACTAAAAAAAATTGAAAAAATATTTCTGTATTTTTATATTTTTGCGAATATGTCTTTCTAAAAGCTTTCTAAGCAGATACGAATCTACAAGTACTGAAATGTGAGCTTTTTAATATATCTTACGCTAACAATTTAGATATTTACATCAGAAAATAATAGCTCTGCAAAAGTGCGATTATTTTGACCAAGAGCATGTGAGCTAAACACACACGTGTATATATATATATATATATGTAAAATATAAAAAATAGGACGGCTTTGCTCTATGCGAACCAGCAATCTTTAATTTACTTTCTGCAATTCAGGATCTTCGCCCTAGACCAGTACTTTCCAGAACATTCGAGCTTATTACTTAACCCTTAATGCAGATGCCTCTTGACAAATTCACCGAATTGTAAACCATAAATAAAACCTGACTCCCTCCTTTCTTTATATGAATTGATGCGTCACTTTCGCTTAAACTTTCCTCCTGGCCAGAAGCTTTGCGGCTACCTTCTTTGTTCAAGGAATATGTGCTGATCTAACAAAATGTAGAGCGCATAAGATGTTCGTCCATATGTGAACCAAATATTGCGAATCCTGACTTGCTTTCCTCAATAATAAAGTTATCTTGAATTCGGAGATGTTTGCATTGCCAAGTTTCTTTGCTCATCTATTACGCCACCGCCAAGCTCCAAATCATTCATTTTATATCATGACATATATATAACACACACGTGTAAATATTTGACGCTGTAGTGCCGCAGCTTAGAAAATTACCTATTTAGAAAGCTGATTTTCAGAAGACAAGTGTCCATTTTATGTTTGCCCTCAACTCTGCAAAAGTTTACTGATTTCTCATTTTGCAAAAATTCAATGCAATTAACAAATAAACAGATAGTCATAAAAATACAATTAGAGTTATTTGGAAAAAAACATTAAATTAATATATTCTAGTAATTTATATTTGTTTCTCAAACTTGTCTTCGAAAGTATCCGAGTAATAAAAATGTAAATCTATAAGAGGAACCACTAAGGGTAACTACTCCTCAGTTAGTGGTTATCTAATTAACTGTAATATGTGAGAAATGAAATAAATCACCAATTATCCCACCTTCATGGACCATCACTTCGTGTTGAAGTTCGTGCAAATCTAGTTCTTTTCTATGTTCCAGGACGATGGTTTCAGCTTTTTTTTACTAATAGTTATTTTATTTTGTCAATCTTTCCTGAATTTTCTTATTCCCCTCGCGTTTTCTTGCCAGGATGTAAATTAAAGAGTGAACAGGAGTATTTAAATTGTTTGGAAGAAAAGGTTAGACAGAGCGTGATTTCGCTATTGTGAGCACACGTTTGTTAGTTTCTACTAGCTGTTAATCTGAATAGCAGCTACGCATTCTGGCCATTGAGTTAACATCTCGTCGGTGTAGCTTTTCTTAGTCGACCTGCTAGTTTAAATTAAATTGTGTAGTTTCGCACTACTCTTTACCTTTAAATTAAAGAGTACATTATCTTTTAAGTTTTTACCGCAACTGGTCGGTGTTTTGTATAAGCACGTAATTCTGAGAAAACCGTTAAATGTTTTGGTGTTAAATAAAAGCGTCTTTTACTCTCTTTGCCTGGTTGTGTTCATCTTCATGCTTGTGCGAGAATTCGCAAGCTACAACACTTAGGCATATTTAGTTACGTTTTATGATAGCCAAGAAAACTAAATCCTACATACTAATGTCGATTTATAATGAAAATTTCACTGCTTATTCAAATTACAAATTTCTGAAAGTTATTATTAACTTAATATACGTATATTTTCAATTAATTGACATTTTCTATAAAATAAAATATAATAGTATTGCTATCTAAAATTGAACTAACTAGACTTTCCTTCTGAACTCTAGGTTGCCTTAAAGAAGGATGCATTTTTATTTTGAGTTGCTTGTCCTCTACCACACTTGAAGAGGTGGCGAACATTGTCCATGAAGTGGAAGGCAATCAAGCAGTTCTGTGGTTGCAATTATATATATTCCGCAATCGTTCACTAACCTTGAATCTCTTGAAAAAGGCTGAAGAGTTAAACTTCTCTGCTGTAGTAGTAAGCGTTGACTCGCCAATTGGTGGACTGTGGAAGAACGTCATGCCACAAAATTTTCTTGATGTCCTAAAACCTAAGTTAGTACTTTTAGATTTAATTCCTAATTAAGAATCGTCGTTAGTTGCTTGTTGATTTACATAGATCTGCATGATAGTAAAAAGAGCATTTTATGTGCACCAGAATCAATAACAGCAAAAGCATATGTAAAAAAATTATGTGACTGCTCTAAAAGATTTAATTTTAATTTGAAATATAAAAATGTTCCTTCAGTCTTTAAATTTTTACACAGTAGTGAACGTTACCTTCAGCTATTTCCACATAAAACACTAAAATTTGTCACATAGCTTTGAATATTTATACACACACATATGTATGTACATTAAATTGTACTTTTCCATCTTCGGTAGTCATCGACCAATGGATTATTATAAGTTAACGGAGGCGGATTGCGTGGGCTCATGCGTGGTCGGATTGCGTAGCAACGTGGGCTCATAATAGCGAAATCGTGCTCTGTCTAAACTTTTCGCTTCAACAGTTTACACTCTCGTTCATCCTAACTACTTTACATCCTGGTAAGGAAACGCGAGAGAAATCAGAAGAGACAGGAAAGGCTAACAAATTAAAGTAACTATTAAAAAATTAATATACCTCACACCATTTCATATAATGCGCGATTTGTCGGATCTCCAGTCGTTAACCACTACGTTTATTATATGAGGTGGTTATAATTAAAGTTCTACTTTTAAATGGTCATAAAAGGAAAACTACTGGACCAAATGTTATCAAACTTGGTAATCGTGTGAAGGAGGTCATGGGAATTTATTTTCCGTTAAAAAAGAAGAACAGTTCAAAAACTCACCACGAGGAGGGGAATGACGTTCTTTGCAATATTGTTAAACGAAATAAGGTGGCGTTGTATGCAATACTGTTTAACGAAATAAGGTGGCGTTGTATGCAATTAATGTTAAACGAAATAAGGTGTACGCACCTTGATTCGCTTAGCAACACAGACATTTAGCCACGAATTCGTCTTCTGAAACGTAGAGAAGATCGAATTCGGAGGTTACTTCCATGGCTACAGTTCAAGGTTTTGTGAGGAGAGGCGCTTACACTGGTATGTCCTAGTTTGTTTGAAGTAAGAAGGGTTGCAAATTGGCTAGAAGATATACTTTCGATATAGTCCGAGAGAAGACGTTTGATATTTTTAGGCTCACCGGCACATGATTGTATAAGTTTCTGTATTCAAAAGGGTGACATTTTTTGAATTTCTCCTGTTGTGCTATTAATTACCACATGTCTTATTTCGTTTAACAGTGTTGCATACAACGCCATTTTCTCCCTTGTGATGAGTTTTTGAACTCTTTTCCGCAGAAAATAAATTCCCATGACCTCTTTTACACGATTATCAAGTTTGATAACATTTAGTCCAGTAGCTTTCCTTTTATGACCATTTCAAAGTGGAACTTTAATTATAATCACCCTGATTTTACAAAACAAAATCAAATAACGAATAAAATAAAAGTTTGCAGAATGCTTTGCGGTCACCTGAGCCGAGCCTCCAGCGGTTAGCGAATCACAGTTTAAGAATCTTAATTATACTTTTTTTGTAACATTAATTAAATATAAGTGATTACGATATTTATTTTTAACTTTTATTTCTCAGGTTGCCTAACATACCTGGGCCAGCTCGACAGCTTTTAGATGATACCCTGACATTTCGAGATCTTGTGTGGCTCAAAGAACATACAAAACTTAATATTGTTGCAAAGGGAGTAATGTCAGGTTAGAAATTTCAGTTGTATTTATACAGTAACTTGACATATGCATTTATATTATACTTACACACACTATATTATTGAGATTTTTATTCATTTTGTAGAGTATTACTTAATTTTCTAACCCGTTTTTTAAAGTTAAACTACCTTTCTTTTCAATTCTCATTTAATTTCTCTACTGGAACGCAAATTTCCAGCATGCGCGATATTCAAAATAGGTAGAAGTAATGAAATATGTAAAGGAAGATTTTCGTGGGTGTAATCAGAACGTGTTCTGTCTGCATGACGGCCACGTTGCTAACTTCGATCCTCTAGCGATTAGAATTCTTACCATTACACTTGTTTACACCGACTTTAGAGTCAGAGCTTACGCGTTATTTAAATTGTGAAGCCCTTAAGCTATACTTAACTTCTTAATTTCTTAAGTTATTCATTACCTTTTTGGTTAAGCCAAAAATTTTGGCTTTTGTAAGCACTAGTTGGTGCCGACTTCTAAAATTTGTTTGAGTTAATAAAGAGTTCTTTTCTCCTCACTTTATAGTAGACTTGGCGATATCTTCAACTTCGCGAACATTTTATGTTAGCTAAGCATACTCGACATTACAGTATTTTCCACGGAGATTCGAAAAATGCAGCTTTGCCTGAACTCAACTGATGTGTTCAAACTGTGTAAAAATTATCAATCAGATTCGACGAAATTTTATGGAAAATTCGCTGCATATCTATATTTTTCGTATGTGTTAATTTTAAATTTCAGCTTTGAGTTTTGATCGTTATTCGGGTTGCAATAAATAGCAAATTAAAATTATATTTATAAACAGTTGTTTTTCTATATACTTCCTGACGGTAATCATGGTTTCTATAGGAAAGTTCAGGGATAAGGCATTGAATCATTGGCATTCCCCTTGTAACACTTTTCTTAAAATTCGTATTTAGATGGTGTGCAAATTTATTAGACATATACAGCATTAGGCACATACAGGATCAGAAATACATTTATTAATTATACTTGTAAGGAATTATCACATCCCATGTGTGTTTCTGTGGTCTAAGTAGTTAAATACATCAAACCAGAATTGGGAGATCTAGAATTCGAATCCTAATGCGGAAAGAGTTGATTTTTCATGCTTCCTGCTCCGAAAACGTTAATGGTTTCTTCAGTGGTCTTCCAACTAAACATATGATTGATTCGCTCATTGTAGCCAATAGAAATTCCAGACTAACTTCCATTTATGGTTAAAGTCTATTTGTGCCTTGTCTTGTTTCTTGGTAACTAAATGACGTTTACTTTGCACTTAAAAGTCATTATACGAGAAGTGATAAGAAACACAATAAATGTTTAAAAAAAATCTGAAAATTTTTAGATTTTATATTACGCCTAAAGGGGCGTTTTTGTAACGTTTTGTGTGTTAACTTTATTTATTAAATATCATGCTCTTCGCACTTAAACCATAAAATTCAATTCAACAGCAATTTCACAAAATAATTTAAAAGGAATATATCTTTAGAATTTCCGATCCACAGTCTCACGTGCTGGAAATAAAAATGTTTTTTTTTCGCACAGTGTTGCCATTGATCGCTTTGAAATATTTTAGTTTCTTAATCAAAATTCATAAATACTTTACAAAATATGAAACAGATAATAAAACAAATTCTAAATATGGGCTTCCAGATGCCCATACGCGGGGGGGGGGGACATACGTTATTCAAACTTCGATGGCTCTAGGTACCGTTGTTTTATCATAATGCGAGAAACCTACATATATTTATGCAGATTCTTCATTATTTAATTTCTTTAAATATGATTACATATGATTTTAAAAGTGATATGATAAATATGATTACAGTGATATAATAATTAAATGATTAAAAGATTAATTAATTAATGATTAAAAGTGATATTAATTAAATTAATGATTAAAATAATGATTAAAAGTGATTAAATTAATGATTAAAAGTGATATAATAAATATGATTACAGGGCGATAATATTTGGTGGAAACCATTTGAAATGTGATACAACGCATTTAAGTGTTTCGACGCAAAATGCGGATAACGTTTTTTTGCATACATTGATGTTAATCCTCCTTAGAATACTCCCACTTCCTTTAAACTCATCCATTCCATCGTTTTCTTTCTTATTGAACCAATTCTGCAAGTCCTTTTCCGAGAGTGTCTTTAACTGAGCTGTCGAGGCTTCATCGATATTTTGAATAGGCAAAATATCGTTTCACAGTCCCGTTGGGGAAGACCAAGAAGTCGTCGATCATATCCACTGTATAGTATGTAGGGTAGTGGTAGTTATAATTAACGTGTGTAGGGTTAGTGGTAAGAACTAACCTGGTACTACACGCCCTGCTCCACTTCCTAGAATTCTCCGTGTTAGGCGGAATTTTGGAGGCTGGAGGCAGGCTGAAGAAAACACCACAAGAATGACTCTGGTGATTCATACCTGCCGCTCATCCCACACTTACAAGCGACAATTTGTACAGTCATCTCGTCCCAACCAATCTGACTGGGCCTGCCAGGTCACCACTCCCGATTCCCAGTCTCGTGGAAGGGCGTGGCTCTATACTCCCCTGACAATTTGAGGGGCCGTTGATGTGCTACCTGCCAGTACTACGCGGAATGCATGACGCCGTGCACGGGTCTTACACAGGACTCCCAACACCTCACCCCGTGGGCCACCCGATTGGACGGGGATGGTTTTACCCGCGAACGTCCACAGGTCACGGGAAACCGTCAATCTCAATGATTTTATATCCCCCTGGCCGAGACTGCCTAGGTATAGATCCTAACCAGTAGCTTCACAAAGTTCTCTGCGTCGACCTCCGAGGGGTACAGGAAAGCTGAAACATGAGCAACCCCTTCGCCGGGAATCGAACCACGGACATCTGGAATACGCTCCGAGCATGCAGACCACTACACCACGAAGGCAAGTATGATGTGTAAGAGAATCTCCCTTTTAATCTTTTTAATGGGCAGAAACTGCTGCACCAGAAGCGATGTGTGACGGAGAAAATGCATTCGCCTCGTGTTCAAATTTGTTACAAATCTGTTATTAAAATGCTTTGAACGGTCTTTTAAAGACACTCAGACCCTCGGAATGTTTCCATATTGTTAGTTAGTTCCCTGTTTGATCGAATCATTTTGCTTATTCATTAAATTTGTAAGGTGTATGTTAATTTTATAACAGTTATTTGTAATTATGAAACCCTTTCCTTTCAATTATTATTTCCCACATACAACTCCCAACTAGAAGGGGTTTTTAGAATCTCGTTGGATGCAAATGAGTTAGAAGTAGTATTTAAGGAAGTTCAACTTACTTCGAAAGAGAGTGCTTAGGAGTCCTTAGGGGCGCGTTTTTGCCCTCTGGCTAATTCGTTCTTGAATCTATTACGCTCGTATTGTACGTGCCTCTTAAGAATCGCCGGCAGTTTAAATTAAGGGCCAATCACGCTAGATATTTGTGTTTAGCTTCAGCTAAGTCTATTTTAGCTAGTATTAGATTAGCTTCATAGTTTCGCATCCTAATTTAGGAGCCCTAATGGAGGCTTTCCTGTAAGCCCGAGAAAAATTTTAAAAGAGGTATTGCTGCCAGAGGGAAGATGTGCGGTTTGGAGCTCCGCAATTAACAACGATAATTAGAAGAATTTTTGCCACAGTGCTCTAATTCTTGTTTTTAAAGTGCGCTTAAAGATTTAAGGAGTAGTTCGATACAAGTTTTGAGTTTGTGCGGGCAGTGGTTCTTCAGTTGTTAGTGTTTTTATGTCAGCATCCTTCATTCAGTTGTTAGTGTTTTTATGTCAGCATCCTTCATTGTGTTTCAATATTGTGCTGTGTTATATAAGTGTATGTAAGTGCTTCGAAAATTTTCTAAGTCCAGAAAACAATGGTTAATTTATAAAAATTATTATCTTGTGCAATTACCACGTCTTAGTTATCTGCACTCATCACGGCCAAGGTAGGCAAATTTTGTTCTGTCTATTGAACTGTGTATTATTCTGTTATTAAATTTATTTATAAATTTTGCGTAACTTTGACTCTTGTTTACTAACAATTTGCGTTAGCCATATTGTCATTTTGCACGCAATAACAACCCGTCCTTGAGGAAGGTCAAGGTAATACACAGTTCAATAGCGCCTAGCAACAAGCACTTGGTTTCCTTGCTCTCTAACAATCTTACAATGATATTTGGGTGCTATTATGTATTCGTATGATTCTCAGTATGTTCAAATTTTAAATTTCTGCGCTCTTGTTAATTAATATTTTGTACTTATTGATTTAATTGCACCCCTCTTATTTTTCATTGTATTAAATGTTTTGATATATATTTTATATGTTGGTTCCCTTACTGTTAACTCAATGGACTGGTCCCAAATGTTCATGTACAAAAAATTATGCTACAGTTGAGGTAGTTTTTTCTGTATATGTAAAGAGTAAGTAACGGAATATTTGTCGAACAATTTGTTAAAATTCAAATTTTTAAATTTTTAAATACTGTTTCTCCGGTTCTTTTCTGCATAACCATAACTGTTTTGGTTATTGGACTCAATGCTTTAATGTTCTTTAGTGTTCACTTTCTCTGCCTGTAATACCAATTCACTGCAAGGACAGTGTGAGTACGAGAAGCTTGTTTTACAGGTTATCATCTGTTACTCTAACATCATATGCCACTGCTATACCACCTTTTGAGAATAGTCTACTAGCGTTTTCTTTTGATTAACCTAGCATTTTTGGTATAGATTTTTGTGACTATTAATTAGTATATGCATTATGGAAAAACTTGATATGTCTTCTTATAAAAGTGATCTAAACATCGAAACACTTAGAACTTCTGAATTGTCTTATCAAGAAAAGATTCTTGCTCTTCACGACGAAAGCGCCAGCATAGTTAAAACTACTCGCGGTGGTAAATATCTCCTGCCACAAGGATTACGAAAACGAGTTCTCTCTACTCTTGAATCTTTCTCTGAAAGAATACCTCTATAGATCTGAAATTACTGACAGTG